GTTCTATTTGTATAATGTCATCAAAATAATAGACTGTTGATTATATGTCAAGGAAACAAAGGTCCCTCCGGAATGCTATCAAAATCACAGAAAAGGCAAACTGTTTCTGATTAGTTTGCTAATTGGCTTCAAGTCTGCAGCTACATTCTACATACACGGGTTGTACTGATGTGCTATAGTAGAGATCCCACACGTGGAACTATAAATGTAACTAGTGTCAATGGTTGATTAACTTTTTTAATAATCCACCAATATTCTCTAAAGCTAATCTGACTACTTTCTTGGGTTTCAATTTATCTCCCAAAGGTCATGTGTTAGAAATTTATTCCCTACTGTGACAACAATGTTGGTTAGGCCATGAGGGATGGCTCTGCCTCATAAATGGTTCAGTGACAATGTCTTGGGAATGAATGGGTTTCAGATAAAAGGATGAGTTTACCATTCTTTCCTCCTCCCCTTATTAACTTTGCTTCTCTGCCTTCTGCTATGGCATGATATAACAAGGTCCCCAGTAGATGCTGACACCTTGACATGAGACTTCCAAGTCTCCAGAAGTGTGAGAAATAAATTTGTTTTCATTTTAAATTGTCCAGTCTGTGGTATTCTGCAACAGCAACACAAAAGGGATTAAGATACTACATTATTAATACTATTGCACAAACCAAACAGTTGAGTTAAAAGAAGTCTTGTGTCTTTCAGATCTTGAATGGCTGCAACTGTCTGTGTAATTTCTCTAGAGATAAATTTGATTTTATACTTGGGTACAGAGAAGGGGTTTGCTAGAGAAGTTATACTTGACCCTATCAATCATAAATGGCCTGAGTAATCTGGTATGTTTCAGTTTACTGTCATATTTGAGTGCAAGGTTTCTTCTATTCAGTGTATCTAGCTTAACATATTTTGGAACTGGGGTGGAGGCTGGTGGAAATACCCAGAATATATCTTTAGTTCTATGAGCCCTTTTTCAGTCTCTACTCTGGTCACTGGAATTCTCATAGTATGCAAAGCATGCAGGGGTTTTTGTCCAGGACCACTATTTGTTAAGGCTCCAGAACGTAGGAGAATTTCACATTCCCTAGTTCACAAACATACAGGTAAAGAGTCAGAGGCCCTTCGGAAATAACCTCAGAGAAGGCTCACACTTTATATATAATCCCACTGAAGTATCTTCATCAAAGAAACTTACTCTGTCTCCCCTCTAATTAAGAGCTTCTAGGTTTGTGAATTGGCTTAAGACTAAGATTTGGATACTATGTCTTGAATTTCCATTATATTGACTTTGGGTAGGTTCTGACCATAGGTCCTAGGATTTTTCCAATTACATATGTCAATTAGCATTTAAGTAGATTATTTCATTCATTCCTAGAGATGTGGGGATCAATAGGCCACCATCCTATTCTTGTAGTCACTTTATCCTTTATCACTTCATCTTAGGGTTATCATAGTAATTATGATGATCACATCTTTACAGATATGCCACTTAACCTCTACCAGGAGCTCACTATTTTACTGTGATATAATCTCCAATCTGTTGAGTACAGGTATTGGAGTTTTTCAAGAATATCTGTGATGCCTCATGATAAAGAGAAATTCTATAGGCCCTTCTAGAGGTTGTATGGCTGTATGAAATTGAATATGTGTCAACTTTTCATTGCTGTGACAAAATACCTGTAAAAACAACTTGCAGGGAGAAAGAATTTATTTTGGCTCATAGTTTCAAAAGTTACACTCTATGATTGGCTGGCTCCATTGTTCTGGCCCGGAGTTAGGCAAGACATTATGGTGGAAGTGTGTGGTGAAGCATATCTGCTCTCCTCAAGGCAACTGAGAAGGAAAGAAACAGAACCAGGGGCCAAAGATACACCCTTCAAAGGCATGCATTTCCTTCAACTAGGCCCCACCTTCCACAGCTGCCAGGAAAGTCCATTCTCTCCAGTTAACCACCAAAAAACCCAAAGTGGAGCTGTGGCTCAAGTCCTTGAGTAAAAGAGCTCAGATAGTTCAACCTTGGAACAGGAGAAAGAGAGAGAGAGAGATGGGGTGTGGGGGGGAAGCTTAATACCATCTATTTAAAAATCCAAATCATAATTGTGGCAATGTCTTCTATCAATTGATTTAAATTAACAAATCTATGTAGGTCAATTCAATCACATAAAGTTACACGATGAAACTAGTTTATTGGAAGAGTCATTGCTTAAACCATCTAGTAACATTATTGTCCTTATGCTCTGTCCTGTCACATTTCAAGATTTGGATAATGTACCTTGAATCTAAACTATGCAGAAAATAAAATATTGTACAACCTTATTTTCTTTCCCGCTTAGCCTTGGTTGAAGCAATAGGTCACACTACAGTATAGGCCACAGATTATTATTTAATAATAAGAAAGGGAAATGCTATAAAACACAGGACAAACCCAACAATTTGTTACATGGTTAAAAACTGTGCTAAAAACTGTTAAAAGTGCTGAAAATATTTACCTAACAGGTATTAAAATATATTAGACCCTAAAGGTACACTATAATCATTTTGGAATGAAAGACTTATTAAGCCATTTATAATTATTCTTATTCCATATCTTGTCAAATTGGGTAGCTTGTAAGTTTCTTAATAATTGTTTATTATTATATAATCTTCAAACTTGAAATTATCTGCCTAATTGTTTAAAATGTAAATTGTTTACTCGCTGTGAATTTCTTACAAGGAAATTGAATTTCCTTACCAACAAACCTATGTCACTAATCTTGTTGAAAGTAATTCAGCCAGTACTAAAAAAAAAAAAAAAAAATCTTCAAAAATTTTTTGGAGTTGGTATAAAGCAAATGTTTTCCTCTTTGCATCATTTGTGGTACAAGTAAAATAATGATTTTAGCAGACACATTTTTTTAAGCCACTACACAGATTCCTGACTTTTTCCATGCTATCTCCTTCTGGGTTGATGGTCAAAGCATATGGATCTGACATTACTGGCAACATAAAACATCTGCACTCCAGGGTCTTGTTGAAGACTATGACCTCAACTTTTTATTGCCTAATTCATTTTAAATGCTGTGTTTCAAGAATAACATACTTAAAGGATTGTCAGAAGAATATTTATCCTTGCCTCAAACTGGGCATCAGAATTTCCACTTTGTTAAAGGTCATGAGATATTTTTTTCTGTCTTAGCATCAGGAAGAGATATGCCTCTCTCTTGATCAATTGGTCCATCTTTATCTTTAAAAAACAGCATAAAATCCTCTTCTTTAACCAATTTGTTGCATTGTTCTGGTTTCCTGTTTTCCCTCTTTGCAGCTTCAAACTGGTTTCCTCACTTACCTATTTTTATCTTGTGTAAAAATAATTGTGTTTTATGTATGTGTGTGTACGTGCATGAGCGTGTGCACAGCCTCAAATTCCCCATGGAATAATGCAGGTATAAATAAGAATAAATACATTTCAGACTAGAAAAAGGTAAATGCTTGTAGGCCAGGGAGGGGAAGAAACCAAAATGGATCTATGACAGGAAGAAACCAAAATGGATCTATGACAGTAAACAAGTACTAAGATACCAATAGAACATTTGAAGAGATTTTGAGTCATCTAAGCCAAAAGTATGTGCCCACCAAAACAAGTGCCAAGTTGCTTTGAAAGAAGGAACTGTTCTTCAACATTTTTTTTTTCAATTCAGCAAACACATAGGCTTTGTCTATAGAGCATGTAAGTCTGGGCTTACTTATGTTCCCTAAATAAGAGCTCTTTGTGCATGCAGTACAAAAAAAATACATATATTCCATGTCTTGGTAAGGTGTGAATTTAAGTCCTTCTATGTAATTGACTGTACTGATTTGACAATAAGGATTCTATTTCCCAAGAAAAGACTTGAATTATAATGTTCAAAGCTCCAGGTCATCTTCTCTAACTTGTTTTTTAGTGGCTTTTCAATCACTAAATGTCATGGCGTAGTGTTATCTGTCTTTTCTGTTAAAAATCTCTACCAGGCTTTAGAAATAACTTTACTAAGTACACGTATTAACTGGTTAACTTAATTTCTATCTCCAAAGACCACTGGAAACAAAACTGCAAAATACCTCGTGAAATATCAATCAAACAATTTCCCTCAACTCCTTCCTGCTTGAGCCTCCGTGTTTAAAACCACCTGTATGTGATCATTCCCTTTACAATCTTGTAAGATGCTTTACAGACGTGTTCTTGGGTGTCAGATGCAAAACCTGACCCTGTTCAAGCTGCAGATAAGGACACAGAGGTGTTACCAGGTCTGATGTTGTATCCCAGATCACTTACTGGTGCGGTGTTTTTGTTTTTTAGCTTCTATAGAACTGTTAGTCCCATTGAAAGTTGCAATACCACAGTCAAGCCCACACAGACAACAGCCATGGAAACTGCCTGGGAATTGGGACTTTGAGAAATAGCTCAAAAAAAAAAAAAAAAAAAGCCCCACACAAGACTGGTTGTGCAGGTGTGCAGTGCAGTCTCAAACTGGTACCACTGGGAATGGTTTGTAAAACAGGAAGGTGCAGTACAGTAGGGTGTGCCCCAGCTTAGTTAACCTGGCACTCCCCCGTCTCTTCCCCGGCGCCCCACGGCCAGGTTCCTTCTGGCCTAGTGCCCTCAAGGTCCCCACCCCCTACTTTTGAGCTTAGACGGGCTGCGTCCCCCTCGCCCGCGTACGCACCCCTCTCTACCCGTCACCCTGCAAGTTTACCTGACGAACCTGGGGGCGGTTTGTGGGGAGTCCGTGGGTCCACGAATACCAGGGAGACGGGCGCCCCCCAATCTCTCCGAGCGAGAGGGCCTAAGCCCGGCGGGCCGTTGGGGGGGTGGGGGGGAACCCGCGGCGGCAGGACAGGGTGTCGTGCCCTCCGCAGGCCTCAGGGCGGCAGTCTGGTCCCGCGGCCGGCGCGCTCGGGCGGGCCACTGGGCGCCGACCCACGCTGGCCGGGAACGTATGTCCCGGTGACGCAGCCCCGGGTGGGGAACGTGGTGCGGCGGCGGCGGTGGCGGCAGCGGCGGCGACCTTAAGCGCCTCGGCCGATTGGAGGAGGACGGCGCGGTGCAGCGGGACCCCGAGCAGCAGGCCGGAGCGGGAGAGAGGGACGCGGGCGCCGTCGCCGGACGTCGGTTCCGGACTCGGCGCTCCACAAAGAGGGGGGCCGCCCCCCTCAGGTACCGCG